TTTTGATCAAAGCACTTTTATGGAAGTTTCAACAATGATATTTGAGTTTCGTGTCGCCATCGCTGATGGCTAAGGTTAAAATGTTCTAGTTACATAATTAGGAGTTTTATTTACTATTGTGTAAATCTCTGAGGTCCTGGGTTCGCTTCCCGGTTGGGTCAATATAGAAAATGAACTTTTCTATATTATCTCGGGTCTGGGTGATATGGTACCTTTGTTATCTCAGATACTCCATAATACGGATGCTTTAGCTACTCATCTTGTTGTAATCTGAGTAATGTATGTGGTGTTGTCTTATACTTACTTATTTAATTTCAGTTTCAGTACATCGGATCGGATATATAGAAAAAAATAAGAATATTTCTGTTGTTTAAAGAAACAACAGCAACAGAAACCTTATTTCATATCTTTGTTGATTGTGCTAAGCTTTTTATCACGCAGCTTTTTTCAAAAAGCCATATAACATGTCGATAGGATAGCTAGTTTTATAACAATTTCTTAACTAATAGATTTCAAACGTCTGTCTATAGCTATGTACACGAATTGATAAATATGAGAATAGATATTTTCAGTTGAAAAAAGCATAATTTATTTATTTGTATTGATTCAGGCTGTTAAACAAGTCTTTTAAATCATAAAAAAAATATTTGCTTGTCTTTAACAATATGAAATTGGACTATTAGAATCTAAGTAAGTACTGTATTAGCGAAAATTCACTCGGACACTAAATCTTATTAACATTGCTAAACTCTTAACTTTTTATTCTACATTTAAATCCAAGGTTATCAACGACTGGGTAGTTGTTTTCATCTCGATTTCTTTGTCGTTATCATATCACAGATTAATAAGCCATAGCATATAATACAAAGATAAACCTATGATTATCAGTTGTTTATTATATTTGATCAATTTTGCATTCATATTGCTATACTGTAAAATATTCTTAATGAAAAAAACCTCAAAAAAGCCACCGACTCTAGAATTCTGGATGACCTTTCGCAATCTGAGCGATTGCTCTATCCATCAAAGTACCACCTTGGGTTTGTGGATTTTTAAACAATTTTCGTTAAGAAAAAAAATCATGCTGCATATAAGGGCTGTGCTTTAATTCTTTTTTGGGTGAAACTGCAATTTTGCGTGAAATAAACAAGATACAATGGGAAGGGATAAGCGGTAACGGTGAGACCGCCTCGCCGCAAATCCTCGCAAACGACTAGGTGGGCACAGAAAGCAGTCCTGTAAATCAGAGATGTTTCTCTCACAAGAATTATGTGTAAGCAAAATCACTGCACATACATGGAATCATTTTCACTTCCTGCAAACGTTTCGCAATTTCTTAATACAAAATGTTCCTATAAGGTAAACACTATTTGTTAACAGCTTTGTTTGTCAATGCTTTATTTACGGTTAAATAAGGGCTAGTCCCTACAATCAAACTGATTTGACAGATTTTTATATCTGTAATTAACATAAAACCTGTAATCATTATTTCTTTATCGTTATTACTATATTTACTATCGAAAACCTTGCTAATTTTTTAAACAACACTAGATGTTCCTGCGTGACTACGCCCATGTAACTTCTCATAGGTGAAAGAAAACTAAAGATAGAAACTTAACTTCATTATAATATTGGTATAGATTTTAAGTTTATTTGATAAACCCATTTCAAATTTTCAATAGGATTACTTATTTAATATTTAAGGAAAAATTAACCATAGATAATAACATCTAACCAACCAAAAGACCACCTGTAAAAGTAGGTAAGTACTTTTAATTCTTTGAAGTATCAAAAGAAAATTAGTAATAATACTTTGAATGTGGTAATATGAGAGATATTACAATCGCAAAATTTCAGAGCTTCTCCTTACTTCAGTAGGCAAGATGTATCTGCAGTCAATCGTAAACACTCACCTATCCCATTGAGCCGGGGGACCAATCTCCCTATTAAATTCGATTCAATTCCATACATAGGTAAAGTCTTTGCCCAAGCAGTAGAGCCCATTAATGTCCCCACTATAGATGGGATCGAACCAAATCAAATAAAAATAATCCCCATGATCCTCCGCGGGCCCTGTGTGAATAAGTGGGTATTAACGACTGCAGACGCATCCGGGACCGACGACTAAACGTACATTCCGAAGCACGGTGAAGCCCGAGATAATATTTTTTGGTCTCCCATTCTATGATCAGCCATTGCGTAACTTGCTTAACTACCGAATGGCAGACCGAGCACGCTAACCACTTCGCGATCGGGCTCCTCTTATTGATAGGCTCGTGATGAAAGAAATAATAATAACACAATTAAATCAAACCATATCATATATGTATACTGTATATTTTTAATATTTACATCTAAAATTTAGGTACCTAAGTATCATACAATATTAATATTATCTATGTTCTTTTCTAATAGTGAAAATAATAAATATGTGAGTTACTATATAACAGAGGTGCCATAACGAGAAATTTTACAGTAATTGTAAATATTTACGATTAATAAAATATTTTTTTATATTTCTATAAGGGACAAGATGCCATCATTCTGTTAATAACCTCTTCTCTTTGACTTTTCACTCAGTCTCAAACGTCCTTTAAGTGTAAATCAGATGTATACCGCTCACATGATTTATGTGCAAACAAAATGGTTGCCGCAGCCACGACCAACCTCGGAATTATTTCAATTTAACGCCATCGCGCTCAACGTAAATTAATGTGGCCTCACTGCAGCTGCATATAATATTGATACACTCGTTAACAGATACTAATTAAGCTTTTGTAATTACAAGCTAAAAAGAGCTTTCAGTATAAATGGAAAAGGAATTTTGTTGCTATTTTTATTGTTGAGTGTAACAGCTTTATGACCTTTGATTTGAAAAATATCTACTCTTCTTTCTAAAACGAAAGCGTACAATGTTTTACTGAAAATAATATTTTATACGTTCTTATAATATTTCATAAATTACGCATTGACAATGCCATACTGGGCGACTGCTCTAATCTGTTGAGTCACGGGTAGCTTAATAGTTAGAGCACAGTCGTCCGGATTGCAAAAGGTTGGTTCGAGTCCCATTTCGGGGTACCTGGGGCTGGTAGATAATTTATGTATTTTTCTTTAAAAAATTATTATTATTTTTTAGCCAAACTGACTTAGCCATATTTTTTCTATTTTGTAGTTGTTGAGTATTATTTTTCGTTGATTTAATTTTGTGTGGAGTCACCAAACCCATCGTAGGCGACTTGTATTTAACTGAATTATTACAAATTTTAATATTTTATCTTTACTGAATATTAGATATAAATAATAACTTCATATAAAAAATCTGTACAGTTTAATATACCACGATAACTCTCTATTCTCAATTAAAATACACTCGCCTACAAAAAATTGCAAGCCAACCTACTCGAATCAACAACTTTACGTGGAAATGTAAAAACAATTCTTTGATGTAAAAAATTTTCAGCAGAGATATTTCATTTTATAACCAACAGTTAGAATCATATGTAGTAATATAAAATTATTAATATGTCACTTATTTAATAACGATTATATTTTAACGGCTTCGGCATAATATTTGACTATGATTAATTTATGCTTGTTAACAATATCGCCTGGCATTTATTTACTAGCAAAATGGTTTTCCGAAAAGTCTGTATTGCTTAAATAATAAGTCAGGCGTCTTACGATTCACTAAGCCCACGATGAAAGTGTCAATTAGTACAAAGGCATGATTTTGTTACAGTCGCTTGACTTAAAATAAATTAATTACCTAAAAATTATGACTAAATTGTTAAAATTAATTAATAGTAACAAGAAAATAGAATAGCCTAAAATGGAGTAAGAAAATGTGAATAACAAAATCTGGTTTCAATAGTCATACCCCAGGTGATCAGAAATATAAACGAGACCCGGTCAATTTGATTATTATATCCATAGATTTGATAATATGGGCCTCTCATATTGGTTATTTTTATAATGCCAAATTAATCACACACGTAGCATGAAAACTCGAGAAACGCTTTGCCTACACCCAAATGTCACTTTTCACAGCTGCAACCATATATCTCACCCGAAAAAGTGTAATTTGGGTGTAGGCAAAGCGTTTCTTGAGTTTTCATGCTACGCGTGCAAGTCCATAACATAGTATAAGTAATTATTACCTAGATATTAGGGTTTTCATGCTACGCGTGCAAGTCCATAACATAGTATAAGTAATTATTACCTAGATATTAGGTTGTTGAGTGCCTGAGTGTCTAGTGGTTGAGTGCTCGCGTTAACAGCGTCGTCGATGCCAACTCTGATATCCCGAGTGCAATTCTAGTTTGTCTCAGGACTAGGTTTTGTGCTACCTTCGTTCTTTTTGAAATTTCATAATATAAAGGCTTTAAGTACGTATGTTAATGTAGTCAAATATTTATTTATTGGCAATCATATCTCCTAAATGCAGTACAAAATACTAAACCTTTATTCTAATGATATAAAATGGTTTACCAATAATTTTCTATATTTAGTTTGATTTTGTTTTTCGATGCTACCGTACTTTTAAATCGGTACTAAAATTAGGAAATCCACCTAATCTATACTAATAATTAAAGATAGGCGAAGTCTAATTTTGATTGTTTATTTGAAGATTACCTGTTCGAAAATATTGATCCGATAATGAAAATTCTTTCACCTAAGAGAAGCTACATCAGACCTGGGCGACATAAGTCATAATTTATGTTGGCGAAGTCACGTGAAAACAGCCAATATTTACAAGTTAAGACGTGTATACTTTCCCTGATGTCAAGGCCAGTTAACCTTTGAGCAAAATATTAACTTACGTGTTATGGAAATCAAAAACAAGCACGTCAAGACTAGAAAAGGTCACATTGACAAATATTTCAGTGGTTGGTAGGCGTCCAGTACCCGGCACGAATGCAAACCAAAATGCTAGTTTCCTTTGTGTAAGTTATTTATATCAACCGGCTTCAATATTTTACATAAGTAAGCTGTAGACCAATTCTGCTTTTATGTAATAATCGCGTCTCAATAGAACCTCAACTAATTGCATAGGTACTTTCATTGTACTAGCTACCTGAATAAAGATGCAATTATTATGAATGTCCACCTACTTGAGAATAATAATAAGCATTTTTCATTAAACTATACATTTTTACTACATATTACTATACATTTTTCAGTTGCTTATTTATCGCTTTTATTAATTAACTATAGTCCAGTGTGCTGACTGTCGATTGCACTCATTCAACATACAAAATAGTTCTTTTGAATTTTAAATGAATGCAAAATACGCAAACTCAACATGCAATGTGCAACCATATTATCTAAATAGTAAGGTGATATCTGATGAAAAGCATATTTTGTTTGGTTATAAAAGGAAAACTACTGATTCGATTCCGATAAATTTAACCGGGATGACCTCGATCTATTCAACTGTAGAATAAAAAAAAATTTGAATATCGGTCAATTCACGCAAAAATTGGTGAACCTACAAAAAAAACATATGTCACCGTCAAACATATGATATCCTTTTCGGTTTTGAAGTCCGTTATAAAGGGAAAAATGTTAAGTCATTGTACTTAACTATTTCTTTATTATGTAAAATTTATATAACGCCAACTTTATCATTATAGGAAGACGGTAAAAAGTCAAACGTGTAATTAGATAAAAGGATTAGAATATTAACTGCAAACGTATAATAAGATATAAGTATTTATTTCAAATAATATCATTTTTAGAATAATTTAAATATAAGTAACTTTACATAATATTTAGGTAAACTTTACATAATAGATTATATCACTGATTTTATTAAAATCCATTCACTTTAAAATATTATATGACATTGTTATTGCAGTTTTTTGCTGACACTGTATTATCAGCGAAACCTTTCAAAGCAAACACAAACATTTAAATTAAAAGACACGTCGAAAAATCTTAAATTATTAATTGTATTTAGCTGAATTTCATAATCAAAACTATAAGGAAAACTTAACACCAAACAACCATAAATAAATAAGACATTATATCCACTACATCCAATATGACATTCCAATCAATTCTCTTAAAATATATGCAAGTGTAACTTTAATACAATTGACCTACTTAGAAACAATATTACACTAACTATCCTTAAGCGAAAATTTTACTAATCTTTCTGATTCAGTCCATAACCTTTCAGAGTGTTCCCGATCTAGTGACACTTTTGAAGGTTTACATTCTCGACAGTCGATAAAATATTTACCGGTAACGTCACGCAATTCAGGCGCGACAGCTAAATATATCGCTGTCTGTGATGCTTCCCAAGGGCTCTTAAACATAAAATGTATACCTTTTTCAACGATATTACGAATAATTTCGCTTGGTATATTCCTGAATATGTTAGTAGCAGACACGCCAGGATGCAACGCGTTTACAGTAACTCCTGTGCCTTTCAATCTATCGCTTAACTCTACCGTCATTAAAATAAGAAACAGTTTACTGTTTGCATACACCAAATAGTCACTCCAATACTTTTCCATGTTCAAATTTTCAAAATCTAGTACGCTATACTTGTGAATCATCGACGAAACGTTTATAATGCGGCTAGGTGCAGAAGATTTCATCAAAGGAACGAGTAAACATGTTAATAGAAACGGTGCGAAGTAGTTAACTTGCATTCCTACATGGATTCCATCGCTCGTCACGTGATTCCCGAGTCCGCCGGCGCCAGCGTTGTTAATTAAAACATCTAAACGTTTCTCTGTTTTTATTATGTTCGCACAGAACTCTCTAACTGACCGGAGTGAAGTTAGATCCAACTGTCTGAAATGCACATCGGTGTTGCCAGTATCTTTGACGATTTTCTCCACCGCAGCAGTAGCTTTGGCCACACTTCTACAAGCCAGGATCACTCGCGCTCCACGACTAGCCAAATCCTTCGCCGTTTCTAAACCTAAACCACTATTACCACCCGTCACAATGACCACTTTCCCCACCATGTGAGCACTGGATTTGCAAATTCCACATGTTAGTTTCTGATACACCTTTACTGCCACCAGAAATATTACCGTTGCCAATGACAGTGTCCAAAGAACCATAATAATAACTTTTTAGAGCGTCAGCTCTAATTGCACGTTGAACAGTAATTTTAAGTATAATTTTCCTATAAGTCGATACAATACCTATGGAGGTCAACTGAATGTGTCATAAACCGATAAGATACGGATGTCTTATCAAACAGTTGAGAAGCGCGTGTTTTGAAAATAAGATATAACACATATTCAAATACGTTCACATCTTTGTAATGCGATGGTTACGTTCGTCTAGCCGTGTGGTCAACGGTGACACTAGCCGTAGCCAAGCGTGCGCACGCGTCGCGTCGCACTGATTGAAACGGCGACGTTGCATAACCTGCCGACAAGTACCGTTCTGTTCTAAACCGAAACGGCCTTGATTTAGAGGAATGAGTATCATTGTTTCTAAAAAAATACTATGAGAAATTAAAACGAAAAAGATATTATGTGGTTTAACAATAAAAATCAATAATGAAACAATTCACGGAATCCACCACTGCCAGTGGGAATGATTCTGCTCTGGACTATTTTATTTTATCCAAATTATTATATTTAAAAAAATGTATATTGATTTTTCAACGAGTTTGTAAGACTCGACACATTAATTGGTTATCGAAAAAAAATCTCTTTTTTTATTCATAATGGCAATCGACTTCATAGTCTAATGAAGGCATTATCAATTGGACTTCTCTAAATAAAATAAGAAGAAAGAGTTTCTTATCGGTTCTTCTCATTACAAGGTCTTCCGTCTCGTACATATGCGAACCAATAGCATGACTTTCGACTTCCACAAAATGCCTCAGTCAATCATCATAATTATAATTAATGTCTCTTAATATTAGAAAATCACATTTTAATTAATGTCATTGATATGTTTTTATTAACGCTGAATACATATTTTTTTACTATAATATATTTTTCTATTTAAATAATGTGTATGAACCCATTACCATTTTCAATACCATTCAAAATTTATTTAATATTAATATTAACTCTATTTAATATTGGATCAATAAACTCATAAGAAAGCTCAAAAAAACATTATGTATTTGATACCTAAAGCCTGATTATGAACGACTTCTGCTGAACCAAAACTTAAATTTCAAATTATAAAGTAGTTCCATCGAAACTTGTTCCTCGACCTACTACAACATGTATATACTCGTACTTGTACCTGTTGGTTAAAAAAGTTTTAACTTGTTTTTTACGAAACTTTGATATTTGATATGCATAGGCGTTATACATTTTCTTTTTTAATAACTTCCGTGTTTCAATGCAAGTAAAGTCAGTACTAAATTCTTTGTATATTATGAAACGACTTAAAAAAAATGACGGAGGTTTGAGTATATATTGTTTTTAAGAAACTTCATCTCCTCTTTCTCCGTCATTTCAAAACCGATTATCATATTTCTTTTAAATAAAGTTTGTGAGCCTGAAATGTTACCATTAAAAATATCGAAATCGAATCAGAACTTTCGTATTCATAACAAAATATTTGGAAGAGAATCTGCCAAATAAAAAAATATATTCAGACGACATATGTTGTCGCCGAAGGAAGAACAAAATCTAATTTTATTTCCTGTGACTTCTGTTATACATGTTTTTTTTGTATAGTATTCGCTAAAAATAAATATCCAAATTAAATTGTATTAAAATTTAGAGAATATCATGTTTACAGGGTTGGCACGATTAAAACAAATTGTTATAAACACATGTTTAAAACAGTTTGAATAAAAATACATGTTTTAAACAATGATAACATTAAATAAATATCCATTGATCGATTTATTGACTCTAGAAATGAAATATATAAGGTTCACTGTCCTGACTTGATATTAATGGCCTTAAATAAAATAAAACATAAAAACAACAAAAAAAACACTTGTTTAAAACAATTTGAACTGTTTGATTTATAAAAAAAAAAAAAAAAAACTATTTTTTTTTCAAATCCTGCATGTATACCAATATAAGAAACACACTAACTTCATCATAATAAAGCAAGACTTCTAGGCATACCCAGGTAGGCATGCCGAGGAATTCGGCACTCTAAAGCATAGTTTCAAATTCTGTGCCTAATGCTTAGCTTGCAAACAATATTTCTCTAGTAATCGAACTAAGTGATCTAGGTATATTCTTTTCATTTTCACTTAGAGTTTTAGGAATTCGATTCACTGTGGCAAGCACTAAATTCTATGGAATAGCATTATAGATTCAAGAGCCTTAATATAAAATTATTTAATTTATATAATACGTCTCGTACTTCATAGTCTCGTAATTCCCGTTAGTCCACGGTCTTGGAAGTTACACAATAAACAACTTTAACAGGGTTGTAAAACGTCTACCTAAATCTACTCGGAGGGACTTTCCAGACTATCCGTTGGCATCTTTTTTAAGTGTAAAGGACCTCATTTTTATTGTAGTTGAACGGTGATTATCGATTTTGACGTAGAACTTTTTAATAAGACTAAAAATAACTAACGTAGTAAACTTTATAATTTTTATTTAAATCTCAATAGGGTAAAGAGAGGAACAGCTTATGAATCTTTAAATGTAACCCTAAATAACTTTTTCTATTTGTATTTAGGGACAAATAGAAAAAAATATATATAAAATATGCGAGTCCCTTGGTAGCCTTATATCATTCATTTCACTCAAGTGGATTTTGAGGTAAGTATTATTTATCACTTTTTAAAGTTTGAGGTCGGTTATATTTTTATTTTTTTTATGGCATGCTTTTTAGCAGTGCTCGCTGATTAAATATAAACGGATATATATCATGATATGTATCATAATATCTATGATATGTATCATGATATATACGTTGATATAAATATCAAAATATTTAATATTTGATTACTAAACCTCCGCTGTGTTATACTTTTATACAGTACAATTAATGACGACCAACGATCACCATATCACAAACTGGTTTAGCTCCTTTAGATGCGGGATTAGCCAAAATCCTTAGAAATTCTCCAAAGTTACAAGTTTTGAGGCTTAGTTGATCTGTCAATAGTTGTCGCTCTCTTTGATTTTTGGAACCTTCCATTGACAAATGTTGCACTTCCTCTATTTTGATACAAACATCACAGTTTATAGTATTAGATTTGTTCATTAAAAATGCAAATTTGTTAGATGGAAAGTGATTATATCGTTATATGCACCTCAATTTAATACCTATATATGAGGCGGTTAACTCTGCATGGGCTTATACCAAGTACATTTTACTGTGGATATTTCATTGTTATATTTTCTTCATAGATCGAAACAATCAATTTTGAATTTTTGTAATATTTCTGTTCGATAAGGTTTTATTTAAAATTATACAACGTCATCAGATTCTATTTACATCTGATTTCAAACTTTTATGTTTCTTGTTTGGATATTAGATATTTTATGATTTTTATTCAAATTTTTTAGATATCAAATATTTCATTGATAAATAAAATATATTCTCTAAAAAGTTGTTATAACATATTCATTTGCCACCTGCAAATAATTTACATTATTGTATCGTGAAAATGTGGTGACGTCCATGAAGTTTATCTCAGTATAATATATGATAACTATGCTTAAATATGATGTGGTTTTTAATAGCAGCATCCCTGCCCTCCAGTAATGAGACCGTTTGATGTGATCTGATGCGACAAATTGCTTGGCAATACAAAGCGGGCGAAGACGAAGACACATCTTAAAGGAAGCGGGTTAATACAGTTTCAACCTCAAAGAGGATTCGGCACACTCGTAATTACTTATTATAACATTTTCTTTACTTCGATTTTTTTTGAAATAAATAAACATTAATAAGAAATAACAGATCACGTTACCGAATAGGGCTTATCTACACGATGATACAGATATGGAGTTATCGTTGATGGTTTATTATCATGATAGCAAAACTTCTTAACTAAAATTCTCTTAAAGCTATCATGTGTGTTTCTTAAAAAATAGAATCGATTTCAAACTTTAAAAAAAGTGATAAATAATAATTATCTTAAAAGCGGATTATTAAAAAAAATGCTATTGAAGTCCGGCCGAAGTTTTCTGTAGGTTTATTAATTAAATGAAACCACAGAACACAGATAGACGTAAGTCGACGTAAGTATTATTTATCACTTTTTAAAGTTTGAGGTCGGTTATATTTTTTATTATTTTTATTTCATGCTTTTTAGCAGTGTTCGCTGATTAAATATCAACGGATATATATCATGATATGTATCATAATATCTACGATATGTATCATGATATAAATATCAATTGATGTTTATAATATTTATTGTTAGTTTGAGTATTGAGTCTTAGCTCACGAATGGACGCTGGCAATATTAGCCCGAAGTCTTCCCGAAGAAATCGTACTTACTAGAAACGTTTTTCCGTAATATGTAGGCGAAGTGCGAACGGTCAATTTTTATTTTTCCTTAAAATTTAATTCTTACGTTCACATCAAACTTAATCTTTATTTTTCACTTTGGTTTTAAAAGGTCAAATATTAAATATTTTGATATTTATTACTAATATGATGGATGGATTTGATTTTTGCTTGACCCTGATTTTTAATGATAGCTTCGTAAGTATTTTTTTTTTTTAGATTTAAAAAAAATGTCATACACTTAACTTATTTATAATATTAGTATAGATTTGTGTTATAAATAACATATCAAAACCAGTAACTCTATTAAAGAAAACTATCACATACGTCATCCAAATAAATGAGATTGTTGCCGTTTGTGAAATTACCAAAAGATCAAAACTATCAAGGCAAGATCAGCATTATGGGGTTTTGGTAAAAATTATATATTTCTATGTCTGTGATAGTTCTGTTTACTTATAACATGTCCCAAATAATGTTTAAGCTTCGGTACCAAAAAGGTACAATCGGAAACTGTATTACTAAAACTCCGCCGCGTGTATCACCAGAATGTATCTTATGAATTGCGATAGCTAAACAGTTGAGTATTAAAAACAGAGAATACATTTAAGAAGAGTTCATATACAACAAACGTGTTTTTTTGTGCGATTATATGAACAATGGTACGGAGAGCGAGTCTGATTCGCTAATAGCAGGTTTTTTTCTCATTATTTATTTCAAAACTTTGAATTATTACCGTCTTAAACAAACGGGGTCATTTAGATGAATTAGTAGAGTCATTGTATCGTTATCTAATTATTTTTTACGAATTTTGTACCTAATTTATGTTATCATATCTGCTTTTTCATATTATATCATGTCATTCCAAGTTCAAGGTGAACAAATGAGTTATTTTCCTCTATGCTATTCAATGGAACATTATTTGTATACATAAATTGTAATCACTCACTCATTATATTACTACTACCTTTCCGCCAGCGATTTCGACCACTCAAGGGAACTTTTTAGTGGAATAAAAAAATACATGTCAAGGTTTAATTATCCGTAAACCAAATTTCATTAAAATCGGTTTAATAGTTTTGCGTGAAAGAATAACACATACATACATTCGCACAAAGTGTCTCATCTATATATATACAAAAATAAAAGGAGATGTCCTGGCAGAAAACGCACAGCCTAAACGGCTGGTCGGTGTATAGATTTTAGGAAATTCCACCTCACAGGGAGCCAAAAGGGGTGAAAACGTTTGTAGTACATACCTTTTTTGCTTTTGGACCTTCATCGAAAAAAAAATCAGTAGTTTAAGACCCTGGAAAGTTAATGGTTATATGTTATTTCGAAAACATATAACCATTAACTTTGAGGGATGAAAATGTGATTATAATTTTAAATATTAATTATTGTGATAAGGAAGTAAGGAGGAAATAAGGAATAAAAGTTTGTATGTCAAAGATAAGATCATTAGTATTTATATTGTGGTATTTTACCCGATATAATAAATAAATATTTGTTTTAAAAATTCTGTCTAATGTGACTATACCGTGCGGAAGCTAGTTTAAAAAATTTAGGATGCTACTGACAAAATATAACCACCTATATAAAAAGAACCAATAGATATGAGATGTTATCATACATAGCTTCACAAACTTCAAATGATAAATAGCGTAGAGTCATGGTAGATAATCCTCATTACGACACAATTGCTTCCATAGTAAAGTGTATTGAGATTTGTAAATGACGTGTAATTTGTTGCTTCAAAAATGGTGTTACTTACTATCGTTTTAATAAATATTGCTGTTTACGCATCAGTAGTTATTTATTGTAAACTAACATGTGGTATTAATAAGTGCAGCAAACATTTAGTGGGAAAAGTCGTGTTGGTAACCGGTGGAAATACTGGAATCGGCTTCGAAACAGCAAAAGATCTAGCAGATAGAGGTGCCAAAGTCATATTAGGCTGTAGAAGTGTACAACGAGGTACTTCAGCCAGAGATAAAATAATTGCCGAAACTGGAAACAGTGATGTACACTTTCGACAGTTGGATCTAGCCTCCTTTAAATCGATAAGAGAATTTGCTGATGATATTATAAAGAATGAAAAACAACTACACATATTGATTAATAACGCGGGTATGGTTGGCACGAGTCACAAATTAACTGAAGATGGATTACTTCTCGATATGCAAACCAATCATTTTGGGCCATTTCTACTTACATCGTTATTACTTCCTCTGCTCAAATCGAGTGCACCCAGCCGAATCATTAACGTATCGTCGGCAGCTCACACAAGTGGCAAAATTAACTTTGATGATTTGAATAAGCAGAAAGAAGCATATAAATCATTTCAAGTATACAGTGACTCTAAACTATGCAACGTGCTAATGACATTAGAATTATCCAAAAGATTGAAAGGAACAGGAGTCACTGCTTACAGTCTTCATCCGGGCGGAGTATCAACAGAAATTTTTAGAGATGTTTGGTGGAGTCCTTTACTTATGATTGTTGTAGGGCCAATTTTTAAAACGTCTTGGGCTGGAGCTCAAACCACAAACTATTTGGCTGTATCACCTGAAGTCGACGAGCTCAGTGGCAAATACTTTGCAGATTGTCGTGAAAAGCCAACCTCACTTCTTGGTCAAGATGAAAAGTTAGCTGAAAAACTATGGCATGTCTCTGAAAAACTTACGAAATTGAAATAAATGTTTCAAATAGTTAAGTATTTTACTTTACGAAATTTATTTTACTTTTTCACTCTTTTAATCGATGTATTTGATAAGATATCAAATATAATCTGATAGTAAGCAAATAAGTTTTTTTTTATTTCGCTTTATTAATATATTTCAATTTTGAAGTATATGTAAGATTTGTATCTTACATATTTCAAAAATAAAGTATTATAGTCATGAAAAAATTAAAATTTACCTATGTTTTATATATATCGAATAATCTTAAGAAACAATCGAGATGTTATCTGGTGAAAATAATTTAATACAAATCAAAGTGTAAAGATGTTCAATATTCATATTCTAACCTATACATAGTATAGAACAAAGTTGTTTCCCGCAGTCTGTAGATCTTTTAAAATTGCACAACAGATTTTAATGCATTGTTTTCATCAATATAAATACAGGAACATGTGAGCGAAGGCGCTGTCTAAAAACTAGTTATATAATAAAAGTTGCTAATATTCTGCCTGTAAATTTTTTGGTGATTTTCGACTACAAGTTTTTCAATAAATTCCTACAGTACCAGAACTCTCTTTTTCTGGTTCTTAATAATGATGACTTCCTCGAACGCGAAAACTTTTTTTGAATGATTTATCTTGATCTGATGGTTTATGGCTGTCCGCTAAATATAAATTCAAATGCTCAGATCCCAAATTAAGTAGATAAATAAAAATATTAATCATTTATTTCCTCAAAACATGGTATAAAATGTTGGTTTCATCAAACTCATAATTCTTCCTCATGTTGAATTCGATCAATTCAAAGCACTTGTTTTATGGAAGCTGACCAACGAAGGTAACACCACACCAAGATCCGAGACAGTATAGAAAAATATTTTTTACATTAATGCGACCGAGAATCGATTCCGGAACCTCGGAGATAGCTTGAAACCGGCATGCCAACTACTCACCTTCGAAGGTTATCAACAAAATGCTGATTGTATTAAATGTCGAGATTATGATTCAATCTAATATTCAAGGGAATAGATGTATGTACGATGTAATGCAGTATAACCACTGAGACTAACGAATGCTGAATTTTTGTAAGACAAAAAGTCGATGATGACGAAACGAAACGTCTGTAATAATCTGTCTGTCTGCGACAGTAGTCATCTAGTAGTAGTAAAAAAAAAAATGCTTTCGTCCTGCCTTAATTTACTATGGTTCATATAAAAATCAACCTGTCAGGTCATTATTTAGGTACCTTTCACTTAAAAGGGGACGAACCCAATATTTTTTCTGTCTTCTACGTCTTGGCACGTAGAGTAATAAAGCAAGCAATTACCGACGTCTCAAAAATCTTATCGTATAGCGTAAGTGACGTGTATCTGAAAGAAAGCTGCCCTAAACTGCGCCGCTCCGATCCGGAAAAAAAACGGAGCAGTGCACAAGCTACTCATCCGGGTTTTACATGTCATTCCGGACCGGAAAAAAACGGACCACCGGACCTGAAAATCCAGTGTAGTGCACAAGCGCCCTAACAGTTTTAACTTTTGATTTGCATTTTAACAGTTGTGAGATTAAAAGTCGACCAAGCAATCGTGATTTATATTGTTCTTAGTCTATTTATTTTGGTAACTGCCTGGTAATATATTATTAAAATTTAATATATGATCACGTAATGAGCGACAAGGTGAATCGCTTAATTATTCCACATGAATATTATACATGCCAAAGTATCACAAATATATGCCAGTTACGATCTCACGCCTAACCCACTAAACAGAGTTGACTTGAGATAGGATATAAGTTGCTATTATTGTGATAAATAGATTGTCCGGACGTTTGTCGTTGTCAAAAATAAAATCATGAAACATTATTTCAGGTATTTTACACATTCGTTTTAGAAATACTGCTTAAAGTTACTATACCACACGGACGAAGTCGCGGGCATAAGCTATTTTCATATTTTTTATATTAAGCTATCTTCATAGATATTTTTGGGAATTGGTGTTGTCTTTTGAACAATGTAATTTAACATATCAAAGACGTAGAAAAACTGTAAGAAATAGCCGATAGCAAAAATATAGATAATTTTAAGAAAGCTTAATTTTATGTATGTAAATAAAACGACGTTCGAAGTGTTATAAAATTTACACATATAATAATAATAATAATTTATCTTCAAGCTATGTTTCAGTAATCTATAACATCGTTCCATATCTCCATATCAGTACTAGTGCGTCGGTTATCATCAACATTGTTAGTGAGCATGGATAAACGGCTAGGGTCGTCCTCACTCACGACTCCTCTTAAAATAGTTACAATTTCTTTGCACTCCTCAGTTCTCTTTAACAATTTCTCGGTTCTTTCCTGTGTGCTCACTAACCTATGCTGATCCATTTGGACATGACGTATTTTCTTTCGGACCAAATTAATATAGTAATCGATTTGTTTCTGAAATCTGTCTAAAGACCAGAAGAATCTCAAGTCAATTAGAACTGTCAAGAAAAAAGAGCCATACAGAATGAGTAAACCTACGCCGAAATAATATAACTTTGGATCAGTACTGGACAAAAAGGGGCAATTTTCGTTTAAAGTAACACAATCCCAAAAATACGATGGAGATTCTATAGCTCCTTCTATTCGATTCATTATATAAGAACAATAATATTACTAGTCAATTTTGGTTTACATAATTTTATACACTTTTGACCTTTATACTTCTGACAATAAATTACCATAGAGTAAGTAAAAAACCTTAGAATAATAAATATCTAAACAACTCTATGGCGTTTATGTATATTCTTGTTCTTGGTCCCAGATTATCGAGGAAGTAGGAACAACACTGTGGTACTTAAAACTACGCTATTAAAATAGAATATATCGTTGTTATTTATGTCCAGATATAAAATTTTATATATTTCACTATGTTTCGAGCTTTTATGAATAATTTCAGTAAAGTCATTAGTTTGACAGCAGGTCAGTATTAAAAATTAAAAGTGGTCGGAATTAGGTAGAGTTATTCATGTACTTACACTGATTTCATACAGCGAAAGAATAAAGTGGATATGCCTCAAATCCCGAGATTAATTTTAAAGAGCAGAAAAAATCCCGTGATTTTTTTAAATAAAAAGTTATTTACTTTTACACAATTTAAACTACTGCACGCACGACGTTGCCAAACTTACATCAATGAAAGAAAGAAATAAAGAAATCCCGGGAAGGTCCACATTAATATCAACATTTCGATGCAAATACATAAATAACTCTACCTAATTTCGACCTCTGCTCATCACGTTTGAAAAATTATTCAATGAAACGCCATGATACAGCTAAAAGTTAATACTCAATCTCATCGAGCTCTAAGCGTATTCTAAAGAATACGATACCGCAATCATCGGAGCGGAGGAGAGTGGCATCTCTCAGACTTACAATGGCGTATAAAAGTGCACAATGCAGCCAGAGAACGCCTCACTTGAAGCAATATCGAATTCCCGTGGACGGCGATGCGCCTCGCTTCGTAACCAACAAAGAAATAACGCCAAAACTTGAAATTTTTGTTTAGATATATTTTGTCTCTTTTAAAACTTTCCGAAAAGGATTGTCACTAGGAACAACAAAACGGATCACCTCAAACCAGAATATAGTAGCGAAAAAGTAACAAGTGCATTCAAGCACTTGTTACGGTTAGAGCAGTCATGGGTTCGAATCCCATATCAGAGTGCCAGGGATAATGTAGATTTTTAAGCATTCTTCATTAAGTATTTTTTTCATGGCATGGCGAATGCAATATTGATCAAATATAATAGTTTAGTATCAAATACGCTTAAGTCGTAAAATAATAGAAATCACAACGATCATTTCATAGAACTATTTTTTTTTAATCTGCTTCATATTTTGCAATCCGGGCGACCGCATTTTCATTAAGAATATTTTTCAGTATAGCATTGTGAATGCAAAACTGATTAAATATATTAGTAGGGGAGACCTAGGTGAGTTGTGACAGAGGTGAGTTGTGACAAGGAGGATTTCTCTCTACGTATTATAGTAAGCGAGATGGCATAAACGCTTGTTTGTCGTTCTCGACACGCGCTACACGACTCAGTACCTGTCGACGGTGCATGTACCACAGTTGCGTAAATATATCGCCAGTGTACAAAAAATTACGAAAAGTAAGTTTTTCTTCAAAATATTATTTGAATATATATCATATCTTAGTATATGTGCATTGATGTGTTATTTTTTCTTAAGTTATGTAGTTATTTAAGTCTCAATACGTGGCACTGATTTTTTGTATGCGCATCGTGTTTAGAAAATATGAATTATTATTCGGACCAAGACGTCATTTTGAACACCTAGGCGAGTTGTGACAGCCTGTCACAACTCTCCTATCTTACTCCATATTTCTGCTGGGCTATTTTTTAAAAATTTTTTTATTAACTTTAGATGTTTGTTGGTGTGTCAGTAGCTACTTAAGGTGTATAATGGCATACCGCATACTTATTTTTTTTTTGAGAATGCCAAATAACTATACTCGAGAGACTGAAAATCTAAGAATGTTAAGAAGCGTGTCTTAAGCGAAGAAAAAAAAGAAACCTAAAAAAGCAAAGAAGACTAATAAGAAGAATAGAACAAGTGATGAAGAGGATGCAGAAAATAATTGCTTTTATTTGGTTTGCCTTGAAGCCTATGCAGACAGCAGATCGAATGATCAGTGGGTCCAATGCCTGGAATGCAAAGGCTAGGCACACGTAGATTGTACTGGGGACGAACTGCATTACGTTTGGCATAATTGTGAATCTGATTAGATTAAGATTTTATACTGATGAGAATATTCTCATAAAAAGTAATTATAATATTTTCATTAACTAAATATGGTATCGCTTTGAGATCAATCATATTATTGTAGTATTAATATTATGTTCTTTTAGTTGGTAGGTATTAAAAGATGATTAATCAAATCAAATCAAATCAAATCAATCTTTATTGTTGATCGCAGGTTATATAAAGATATTGGATGCAAGGACTGAATAGTTACACCGTGATCTGCCTAAAAGGCATACAATATTAGTAGTTTAGTAATTGTCAACTAATCTAATCAATAACATGTTATGTCAAAAATTCAACTAATTCATTAAGTATTTATACATTTACAAACTACTGTCAGCTAGATACTCGTTTACACTATAATATGTTTTAGCTACTAATAATTTACAAAGTTTTCTTTTA